CTTAGCTACCTACATACATACTTATCTGCCCATTTCTCTTATCCATCACCTTTCTATCTATCCCACCTACTTATCCATCCATCCATCCATCCATCCATTTGGTTGTCTACCTACCTACCTACCTACCTACTTTTCTATCTGTTTGTCTGTCTACATACTTAGCTACCTATATACATACCTATCTGCTCATTTCTCTTATCTATCATCTTTCTAGCTATCCTGCCTACTTATCTATCCATCTATTCATTTGGTTGTCTACCTACCTACCTACTTTACTATTGGTTTGTCTGTCTACATACTTAGCTACCTATATACATAACTATCTGCCCATTTCTCTTATCTATCATCTTTGTATCTATCCTACCTACTTATATATCCATCCATCGATTTGGTTGTCTACCTTCCCACCTACCTACCTACTTACTTTGCTATCTGTTTGTCTGTTTACATACTTAGCTAACTATATGCAAACTTATCTGCCAATTTCTCTTATCTATCATCTTTGTATCTATCCTACCTACTTATCAATCCATCCATCCATTTGGTTGCCTACCTTCCCACCTACCTACCTATCTACCTACCTACTTACTTTTCTACCTGTTTGTCTGTCTACATACTTAGCTACCTATATACATACTTATCTGCCCACTTCTCTTATCCATCATCTTTCTATCCATCCTACCTACTTATCTATCCATCCATCCATTTTGTTGTCTACCTACCTACCTACCTACCTACCTCCCTACTTTTCTATCTGTTTGTCTGTCTACCTACCTACCTACCTACCTACCTACTTTGCTATCTGTTTATCTGTCTACATATCTAGTGACGTATATACATACCCATTTATCTATCATCTTTATATCTATCTCTCTATCTTGCTATCTATCTCTCTTTCTTGCTACCTACTTATCGATCCATCCATCCATCCATTTGGTTGTCTACCTACCTACCTACATAGTTTGCTATCCATTTATCTGCCTGTCTACATATTCTAGTGACATATATACATACCTATCTACCCATTTCTCTGTCTATCATCTTTATATCTATTTATTTTCCTATCTATCTATTTCTCCCTACCTACCTACCTACCTACCTATTTTGCTACCCGTTGATCTGTCTACCTAGCTAGCTACCTATAGACATACCTATCTACTCATTTCTCTATCATCTTTATATCTATTTATCTTCCTATCTATCTATTTCTCTCTACCTACCTACCTATTTTGCTACCTGTTGATCTGTCTACCTACCTAGTTACCTATAGACATACCTATCTACCCATTTCTCTATCATCTATCTATCTATCTATCTATCTATCTATCTATCTATCTATCTATCTTTACACCTATTGATCTTCATCCCTATCTACCTACAGGTATATTGTCACAAGGTGCAAGAAATGCAGGAAAGGAGAGGGACTTTGCTCCGGCAAGGCCCAAAGCGGCTTAGGCCCCCAAATGACATGGCGGGCGTCCAGAGCCCTTTGCGACCTCCGTCTGCACACAAGGCTCCCGTTGTTTCTCTTTGGGGGGGGGGCTTTGTCAAAGCCTTTTCCTCGCTAAACCGGAGCTCCGTTTGTCCCCCTTCGTTAGCAGCGGATAATGACCCCAGGGACTTAACGAATATTCAGGAACATTCAGGAAAACAAACCTAGCTTCACCTTTCCTCAAAGGACACAACGCTGTCGCCTCCACCAAAGCCCCAAATGAAGACGATAATTAAACCAAACATAATTCCATTTTTGGAAAAGGCACAGAGGCAGCTGAGAGGAGAGCTAACGGGAGGCGACAAAGTTTGCTTCTTTCCCAGGACCTTCAAGAAACCTTTTTTTGGGAGAAAGCAAATTGGATTATGTCGCCCGCCAAATGGAGACGAGGCTCTCCAACTCTCTTTATGTTGCCCAAAGTGGTGCTTTTTCCTACTGAGTTCCCCCTACACTACACCAGAATGTACAGTGGACATAGGGGAGGTCTGTGTGCCAAGTTTGGTCCAGGTCCATCATTCATGGGGGTTGCAGTGGACTTAGGAAGTGAGTGAAGGTACTGAAAACCCCATAATCCATGGTCCGTACTCCCCCAGACCGCACCAGGACATACTGTGAGCATGGGGGAGGTTTGTGTGCCAAGTTTGATCCAGGTCCGCCATGAGTGAGGGTCGCAGTGGTCGCAGGAAGTTAGTGAAGGTACTGAAAACCCCATAATCCATGGTACTCCCCCAAACCGCACCAGGATGTATGGTGGGTCATTGGGGTGTGCCGGTCCATCATTTGTGGGGGTTGCAATGGTCACAGGAAGTGAGCGAAGGTACTGAAAATCTCATAATCCATGGTCTGTACTCACCCAAACCGCACCAGGACATACTGTGAGAATGGGGGAGATCTGTGTGCCAAGTTTGGTCCAGGTCCATCATTCGTGGGGGTCGCAGTGGTCTTAGGAGGTGAGTGAAGCATGGGGGAGGTCTGTCTGCCAAGTTTGATCCAGGTCTGCCATGAGTGAGGGTCGCAGTGGTCGCAGGAATTGAGTGAAGGTACTACAAATCCCATAATTCATGGTCCATCCTCCAAACCACACCAGGATGTATGGTGGGTCATATGGGGGGAGGGTCTGTGTGCCAAGTTTGGTCCAGGTCCATCATTCATGGGGGTCGCAGTGGTCGCAGGAAGTGAGTGAAGGTACTGAAAACCCCATAATCCATGGTCCATCCGCCCCCAAACCTCACCAGGATGTACAGTGGGCATGGCGGAGGTCTGTGTACCAAGTTTTGTCCAGGTCCATCATTTGTGGGGGTCGCAGTGGTCGCAGGAAGTGAGTGAAGGTACTGAAAACCCCATAATCCATGGTCCATCCGCCCCCAAACCTCACCAGGACGTACAGTGAGCATGGGGGAGGTCTGTGTGCCAAGTTTGGTCCAGGTCCATCATTCGTGGGGGTCCCAGTGGTCTCAAGAAGTGAGTGAAGGTACTGAAAACCCCATAATCCATGGTCCATCCGCCCCCAAACCACACCAGGACGTACAGTGGGCATGGGGGAGGTCTGTGTGGCAAGTTTGGTCCAGGTCCACCATGAGTGAGGGTCGCAGGAAGTTAGTGAAGGTACTACAAATCTCATAATTCATGGTCCATCCTCCTCCAAACCACACCAGGATGTATGGTGGGTCATGGGGGAGGTTTGTGTGCGAAGTTTGATCCAGGTCCATCATTCGTGGGAGGCGCAGTGGTCTTAGGAAGTGAGTGAAAGTACTGCAACTCCCATAATCCATGGTCCATCCTCCTCCAAACCACACCAGGATATACAGTGGTCTGGGGGGGGGGAGGGTCTGTGTGCCAAGTTTGGTCCAGGTTATGTTTTCTTGCCCTGGTGAAGGGAGTTGGACTGGATGGCCTTCAGGCAGCATTTCTCAACTTGGGGTCACCGGCGAGGGGATAGGGTCACCAAAGACTACCAGAAAACACAGTATTTTCTGTTTGTCAAGAGGGTTCTGTGTACCAATTCCAGCCCAATCCCACTGTTGGTGGGGTTCAGAATACTCTTTGATTGTAGATGAACTATAAATCCCAGGAACTAGAATTCCCAAATGGCAAGGTCTATTTCCTCCAAACTCCATCTGTGTTCATATTTCGGCATATGGAGTATTCATACGAAGTTTGGTCCAGATCCATCATTGTTTGAGTCCACAGCGATCTCTGGATGTAGGTGAACTACAACTCCAAAACCAAAGAACACTGACTACCAAACCCTTTCAGTATTTTCTGTTGGTCATGGGACATACATTGGGTTGTTAGGTGTCTTGTGTCCAAATTTGGTGTCAATTCGTCCAGAGGTTTTTGAGTTCTGTTAATCTCAAAACATGTGTGTGTGTGTGTGTGTGTGTGTGTGTGTGTGTGTGTGTGTGTGTGTATACTAGCCGTCCCCTGCCACGCTGTGGCCCAAATGGGGGTCTGTGTGGGAGGTTTGGCCCAATTAGATGGTGTTCAGAATGCTCTGTGGTTGTAGGTGAACTACAAATCCCAGAAACCACAACTCCCAAATGTTAAGATTCTATTTTCCCCAAACTCCACCAGTGTTCACATTTGGGCATATTGAGTATTCGTGTAGAGTTTGGTCCAGATCCATCATTATTTGAGTCCATAGTGCTCTCTGGATGTAGGTGAACTATAACTCTAAAATTCAAGGTCAATGCCTACCAAACCCTGTTGGTCCTGGGAGTCCTGTGTGCCAAGTGTGGTTCAATTCCATCATTGGTGGGGTTCAGAATGCTTTTTGATTGTAGGTGAACTATAAATCCCAGCAACTACAACTCCCAAATGAAAAAAAATTAGTGATGGTCACTCCTTGTGTTGCGAGACGTTTTGTTGCCAAATTTGGTGTGATTTCGTTCATTAGTCCTTTTGTTTTTAAGCTACTCATGACACATAGAACATATATATATATATATATATATATATATATATATATATATTAGGTGAACTTGGGTTAGTAGGTGTCTTGTGACCAAATTTGACGGCAATTCGTCCATTGGTTTTCGAGTTCTGTTAATCCCACAAACGAACATTACATTATTATTATTATTATTATTATTATTATTATTATTATTATTACTATTGTTATTATTATTATTATTATTATTATTATATTCCAATATGGGGTTCATTATGATTTATAACAGTGTATTTCTTCAATTTTAAGACTTAATTTCAGGTAGGTAGGTAGGTAGGTAGGTAGGTAGAAAGATAGATAGATAGATAGATAGATAGATAGATAGATAGATAGATAGATAGATATTTGTTTATTGGTACATGGATAGATATTGGTTTATTGGTAGTATTTGGGGATACTACCTGGAATGGGCCGAGAACCTTCCAGAAGAACGGGGTTTCCACAACTTACAAGAACGAGAGTGAGGTGGAAGGCCTTGGGGTCGGCTTGCTCGCCTTCTTGCTCAGCAATCTCTTAACTGGATCTTCTCTCTTCTTCTTCTTCTTCTTCTCTGGTCAGCAGATGACCGCTCGGTTGATGCTGGCCGTGGGAGGAGCGGTCATTGGCTCCTTGCAGTTCGGATACAACACCGGCGTCATCAACGCCCCGCAAAAGGTAAGAATAATAACGTTGCCATACTACTAATAATACTAATAACGCTAATATATCCTATATGGTATGTTGTACTTACAAAACTAGAAATCGACAATAACGAAATAATTTTGGAATTCTGAAAGTTTTGTTAGAGTCCTGAAATTTTCACCACCTGAACTTTAGCAACACTTTAGAAGCAAAGCACCAGCGCCCTCTAGTTTTGTAAGTACTTTAGAACCATTTAGAACCATGGATTGCTCACACCATCCAGATAGATGTGTTGCTAAAGTTCTGGTGGTGAAAATTTCAGAACTCTAACAAAACTTCCAAAATTTCATTATTTTGTTATTGGCCACTTTTATGACAGAACTCTAACAAAAATTTCAAAATGTTGTTATTAATGGCAGTTCCTAATCGACAATAAAAATAGACAATAATGAAATAATTTTGAAATTCTGAAAGTTTTGTTAGAGTTCTGAAATTTTCACCACCAGGACTTTAGAAACAAAGCACCAGCGCCCTCAAGTTTGTAAGTACTTTAAAACCATTTAGAACCATGGATTGCCCATGCCATCCATATAGATGTGTTGTTAAAGTTCTGGTGGTGAAAATTTCAGAACTCTTAACAAAACTTTCAAAATGTCATTTCGTTATTGGCCATTTTTATGACAGAACTCTAACAAAACTTTCAAAATTTTTGTTATTAATGTCAGTTCCTAATTGGTTCTGTCATAAAAATCGACAATAATGAAATAATATTGAAATTTTAAAAGTTTTGTTAGAGTTCTGAAATTTTCACCACCTGAATTTTAGCAACACTTTAGAAGCAAAGCACATGCGTCCTCTAGTTTTGTAAGTACTTTAGAACCATTTAGAACCATGGATTGCCCACGCCATCCATATATATATATGCGTTGCTAAAGTTCTGGTGGTGAAAATTTCAGAACTCTAACAAAACTTTCAAAATGTCATTATTATTTTGTTATTGGCCATTTTTATGACAGCACTCTATTGTCATAAAAATCGACAATAACCAAATAATTTTGAAATTCTGAAAGTTTTGTTCGAGTTCTGAAATTTTCACCACCAGGACTTTAGAAGCAAAGCACCAGTGTCCTCTAGTGTTGTAAGTAGTTTAGAACCATTTAGAACCATGGATTGCCCACACCATCTATATATAATATACTAGCCGTCCCCTGCCACGCATTGCTGTGGCCCACATGGGGGTTTTGTGTGGGAAGTTTGCCCCAATTCTGTCGGTGGTATTCAGAATGCTCTGTGATTGTAGGTGAACTACAAATCCCAGCAACTACAACTCCCAAATGTCAAAATTCGATTTTCCTCAAACTCCACCAGTGTTCACATTTGGGCATATTGAGTATTCATGTAGAGTTTGGTCCAGATCCATCATTATTTGAGTCCATAGTGCTCTCTGGATGTAGGTGAACTATAACTTCAAAATTCAAGGTCAATGCCCACCAAACCCTTCCAGTACTTTCTGTTGGTCATGGGAGTCCTGTGTGCCAAGTTTGGTACAATTCCACTGTTGGTGGGTTCAGAATGCTTTTTGATTGTAGGTGAACTATAAATCCCAGCAACTACAACTCCCAAATGACAAATTCATATTTTTTTGGGTGATGGTCACGCCTTGTGTTGTGAGACGTTTTGTTGCCAAATTTGGTGTGATTTCGTTCATTGGTTCTTTTGTTTTTAAGGTACTCATGACGCATAGAACATTTTTATATATATAGATATATATTCAGTACGCATGTTCAATGCATAGATATATATTCAAAACTAAAGTTCTGGTGGTGAATATTTCAGAACTCTAACAAAACTTTCAAAATTTAATTATTATTTCATTTTTGGCTATTTTTATGCCATTTATAATGAAATTTTGAGAGTTTTGTTAGAGTTCTGAAATTTTCACCACCAGAACTTTAGTTTTGTAAGTACTTTAGAACCATGCATTGAACAGGTGCAAAAATTAGCCCTGTATTTATTTGTGGGCCCTGTGTAGTGAACTTGGGTGGCTGTCTGTCTCTAATAATACAAAATGGAAACAAATGCCCTTTTCCCCACGAAATCGAGAAAACGGTCGGGAATGTTCCCGTTTCCCTGCCAAGTGTCCGTCCGGTGAGCCGGCTTATTGTCGGCAGTAATGGGATTTCCGCAAAGGGTTCCCAGGAGCATTAAAACCTCCTTTCCCCCTCCTCGGGCCGAGAAGGGTTTTTGCATCAATGCCGTCCCCTGTTTGGTTAATACTCGCAAAACCCTCGAGGCGGACTTTGGAATGGGGTTTACCGCTGACCAAAGGGATTTGCAAGGCCGGATCAGGCCGGCGTTTTGGACCTTGGACAGAAAAGGCCTCCGAAATCTCAGAAGTTGGGCTAAAACAAGCAGCACTCTTTTTTTAAAAAAAATAATAATAATATTTATTTATTTTATTTATTAATTATTATTATTATTATTTGTTTTTATTTATTGGATTATTATATTATATTACTAGCTTGGGGGACCCGGCAGTGCCCGGGTTATTTGAGAAAGGCATTGTTTGTCTGTGCTCCAAGTTTAGTCTAGATCACTCCAGAAGTGAGTACTACAAGTCCCATCGTCCCATCGTCCATGGTCCGTCATCCCACTGACCATACCAGGACGTAGAGTGGGTCATGGGGACTCTTTGTGCCATGTTTGGTCTTGATCCGTCAGAGGAGTGGGTCACAGTGGTCTCAGGAAGTGAGTGATGGTACTGCAAGTCCCATCGTCCATTGTCTGTCATCCCACCTACCTTACCAGGATGTAGAGTGGGTCATGGGGACTCTTTGTGCCATGTTTGGTCTTGATCCCTCACTGGTGTGGGTCACAATGGTCTCAGGAAGTGAGTGATGGTACTACAAATCCCATCATCCATGGTCCGTCATCCCACTGACCGTACCAGGATGTAGAGTGGGTCATAGGGACTCTTTGTGCCATGTTTGGTCTCGATCCCTCACTGGTGTGGGTCACAGTGGTCTCAGGAAGTGAGTGATGGTACTGCAAGTCCCATCGTCCATGGTCCATCATACCACAAACCATACCAGGATGTAGAGTGGGTCATAGGGACTCTTTGTGCCATGTTTGGTCTCGATCCGTCACTGGTGTGGGTCACAGTGGTCCCTAGAAGCGAGTGAAGGTACTGTAAGTCCCATCATCCATGGTCCTGCCTCCTCCGAACCACACCAGGATGTAAAGTGGGTCATGGAGGGTGCCAAGTTTGGTCCAGTTTTGTCATTTGTGGGCATCACAGTGGTGTATGGGAGATATATTGGATGAAGATACTGCAAATCCCATCATTCGTGTTTGGGCCCCCCACCAAACTGCACCAGGACATTAAGTGTGCCAAGTTTAGTCCAGGCTCGTAATTCATGGGGGTTGTAGTGATCTCTGGAAGTGAGTGAAGGTACTGCAAATCCCATCATCCATGGTCCATCCTCCCCCAAACTGCACCAGGACGTAAAGTGCGTCATGGGGGTTATGTGTGCCAAGTTTGGCCCAGTTCCATCATTGGTGGGCATCGCAGTGGTCTATGGGAGCCAAAGCAATTGAAAGTACTGCAAATCCCGTCAACTGAGTTCAGGGTGAACTACAACTCCCAGATCCAAGGTCAATCATCCTCAAACTAGGCTTGTATGCACACTTGGCCATGTGAGGTCTGTGTGCCAAGTGTGGGCCAAATCCGACCGGCTGGGTTCAGGGCTCTCTGGATAAGGGTGAACTACAACTCCCAAAAGCAAGTTCAATGCCCACAACTCCCTGCAGAATGTTCAGTTCTTTGTGGGCTTTGTGCAAATTCCACACGTGCAGAGAGAGAAAGGAACCCTGGGATGTGGCACTCACTGTAATCTGCAGTCCCTGTTTGCTGTGTGCCATATGAAAGGGTAGGAAAGGGTTAAGGGAGAGGCAGTGGGTAGGGCTGTGCAAATTCCACACCTATGGAGAGAGAAAGGAACCCTGGGATGTGGCACTCACTGTAACCTGCAGTCTCTGTTTGCTGTGTGCCATAAGAAAGGGTAGGAAAGGGTTAAGGGAGAGGCAGTGGGTGGGATTGTGCAAATTCCACACATATGGAGAGAGAAAGGAACCCTGGGATGTGGCACTCACTGTAACCTGCAATCTCTGTTTACTGTGTGCCATTGGAATATAATATTAGGATATATATATATATATATATATATATATATATATATACACACACACACACACACACACACACACATACATACATACATACACAAACTATAGAGGTTTGGAAGACCCAAAACCCCATACAATATATTATATTATATTATATTTTTATATTATTATATTATATTATATTATATTATGTTATATTATATTATTATCATATATACACAAACTATAGATGTTTGGAAGACCGAAAAGCCCTCCTGACGTGCTTGCAATAAGTTGTTGTTTTGATGCCGTGAGCCGTGAAAGGACACGCGGCTACTTAAAGCTCCGAAATGCCCCGAAAGCTTCCCCTAAACGCATCCTAATCCTCGGCTCTCGAGACTTAAAATATTAATTTGAGCCGAAAAGAGACTTTCCTTCGTTCCCTCGCTGGCTAATTAGGAGTACCTAATAATCTCTGACATCTGAAATGGTTTTAAAGCTATACGCGGTACCTAAATTTCCTACTTGACAGATGCAACTGTCTTTTGGGCCGCATAGGTCAACAGCAAGCTAGGTAAATAGTCGGGAGCTTACTCCGACCCGGGCTGGCTTCAAACTCATGGCCTTTCAGTCAGCAGTGCTTTTTAATGCAGCAGATTATTTAGAATGCATGCTTCATTGTGACTCAGCATATGCAACCTGATCCCGGAGGGAGGTTTTTTGTGTTGTGTGTTGATGATTCAGTAACAGGTGAAAGTGTCCCATTTCCTCTTTGACTTAACCTGTTTGGCCCAGGACTCTCCAGCCAGAGAGAACACTGAACCCCACCCATGATTCACCTAGAGCAAACTTGCCCAACATCACAAACTAGATTATATGTGCTTCCTCCACCACAGACATCCCAGTGTTCCTTACTCTCTTCATTGGCACCATGAACATGTCCAAGAGCTCTGCTAATGTACTCCACCAACACCACACTGCCCACCACCCAGGGAAAGGCTTACATACAGGGACAATTCCATCCTAGATTGTATGTGTTTCCTCCACCACAGGCATCCCAGTGTTCCTTACTCTCTCCATTGGCACCATGAACATGTCTAAGAGCTCTACTAACGTCCTCCACCAACACCACACTCCCCACCACCCAAAGAATGCTTCCATACGGGAACAATTCAATCCTAGATTGTATGTGTTTCCTCCACCACAGACATCCCAGTGTTCCTTACTCTCTCCATTGGCACCATGAACATGTCCAAGAGCTCTGCTAATGTCCTCCACTAACACCACACTGCCCACCACCCAGGGAAAGGATTTCATATCGGGAAAATTCCATCCTAGATTGTACGTGTTTCCTCCACCACAGGCATCCCAGTGTTCCTTATTCTCTCCATTGGTACCTTGATCATGTCCAAGAGCTCTGCTAATATCCTCCACAAGCACCACACTGCCCAACGCCCAGGGAAAGGCTTACATACGGGGACAATTCCATCCTAGATTGTATGTGTTTCCTCCACCACAGGCATCCCAGTGTTCCTTACTCTCTCCATTGGCAACATGAACATGTCTAAGAGCTCTACTAACGTCCTCCACCAATGCCACACTCCCCACCACCCAGGGAAAGGCTTTCAYATGGGGACAATTCCATCCTAGATTGTACGTAGACATCCCAGTGTTTCTTGCTCTCTCCATTGGTGTGGAATTTGCATGACCCTGCCTACTGCCTATCCCATAGTGAGCGCCATGAACATGTCCAAGAGCCCTGCCAATGTCCTCCACAAACGGGGACAATTCCATCCTAGATTGTATGTGTTTCCTACACCACAGGCATCCCAGTGTTCCTTTCTCTCTCTATTGGTGTGGAATTTGCATGATCCCCGCCCACCGTCTCTCCCTTAACCCTTTCCTATTCTTTTCTATGGCACACAGCAAACAGAGGGATTGATCAGCAACTGAGAGAGGTTTAGGGAGAATTCACCATGATTTATAGAAGTTGTAAGTCCTGGGATGTATAGTTCACCTGGGATGTATAGTGCAATCTAAGAACCGCACTCTGAACTCCACCAATGATGGATCTGGAACTCATTTGGCACACAGAAGCCGCATGAGCACCAAAACATACTGAAGGTCTTTGGAGGGATTTGTGGGAGTTGTAGTTCACCTACATCCGGAGCGCACTATGAATTCAAACAATTATGGATTTGGACTAAACTTGGCATGCATATCCGATATGCCCAAATTTGAATGCTGGTTGGTTTTGAGGGGAATTGGCCAGGACATTTTGGCATTGCAGGTGCTGGGATTTATAGTTCACCTGCGTTAAGTGAGCACTCTGAACTCCACCAAAGATGGATCTAGACCAAACTTGGCACACAGAGCCAACATGACTAGCAAAACATTCTTGAGGTCTGGGGGGCGGGGGGGATTCACCTTGATTTGTGGGAGTTGTAGTTCATCTCCATCCAGAGAGCACACTGAACCCAAACCGAGGGATCTGGACCAAACTTGGCATGCATACCCAATATGCCCAAATTTGAATGCTGGTTGGTTTTGAGGGGAATTGACCTGGACATTTTGGCATTGCAGGTACTGGGATGTATAGTTCACCTGCAATCAATAAGCACTCTGGACTCCACCAAAGATGGAATTGGACCAAACTTGGCACACAGAGCCCCCATGACCACCAAAAATACTGGAGGTCTTTAGGGGAAATTCACCTTGATTTGTGGGAGTTGTAATTCACAAACCTGATATGCTGAAATTTGATTATTGGAGGGGTTTGGGGGGGGGATCGGAACTGATCTTCCTTTCTGGGAGTTATAGTTCACCCATAACTAGGGAAACTGTGACCTCCATTGATGATGGACTTGGACCAAACTTGGCACACAGAACCCCCATGACTAACTCAACCTACTGGAGCGGGTGGAGCGGACTGGCTCACCATAGTGGGAATTGTAGTTCACCCTCCAGCCAGAGAGCACACTGAACCCCACCCATCATGTGTCTAAAGTAAATTTAGCCAACATAACAAACTAAGGGGGGGTTGGACTGGATGACCTCCTGGGTTTCCATTATTATTATTATTATTATTTACAAATGCTGGTTGGCCATCTGTCGGGAGTGTTTTGATTGTGCTGATGGAGTTTTTCGGGGTTAACCTGGCATAATGGGAGTTGTAGTTCACCCAAAACGTTATGAATATTGAAAGCTTTGCTGTCTCTCGGCAGGTGATTGAGGAGTTCTACAACGAGACGTGGTTCAGCCGCTACGGGGAGTTTGTGAGCCGTGGGACCCTCACCACGCTCTGGTCGCTCTCCGTCTCCATCTTCTCCGTCGGGGGCATGATTGGGTCCTTTTCCGTCGGGCTCTTCGTCAACCGCTTCGGGCGGTGAGTAAGGTCTCAAGGCGTGCAAGGAATAATAATAACAATAATAACAATAATAACAATAATACAAGATGTCCACAGCATATTATTATTATTATTATTATTATTATTATTATTATTATTTAGAAATACTGGTTGGCCATCTGTTGGGAGTGTTTTGATTGTGCTTTTCCTGCCTGGCAGAAAGAAGGGGGCTGGACCGGATGACCTCTGGGGTTTCTATTATTATTATTATTATTATTATTATTATTATTATTATTATTTACAAATGGTTATTTACAAGAAACTTTTGGGTGTTGCTGGGAGCGGTTATGCAGCATCTTGAAGTTGAACCATTTGGAGTACCAAGGAAACTGCTGGTTGGCCATCTGTTGGGAGTGTTTTGATTGTGCTTTCTCTGCATGGCAGAAAGGAGGAGGATGGACTGGATGACCTCTGGGGTTTCTATTATTATTATTATTATTATTATTATTTACAAATGCTGGTTGGCCATCTGTCGGGAGTGTTTTGATTGTGCTTTTCCTACATGGCAGAAATCAGGGGATTGGACTGGATGACCTCTGGGGTTTCTATTATTATTATTATTATTATTATTATTATTATTATTATTAGAAACACAACAAGATGAGTCCACAGCATATTATTATTATTATTAGTATTAGTTAGAAATACTGGTTGGCCATCTGTTGGGAGTGTTTTGATTGTGCTTTTCCTACATGACAGAAATCAGGGGGTTGGACTGGATGACCTCTGGGGTTTTCTATTATTATTATTATTATTATTATTATTATTATTATTATTATTGTGTGAAACACAAGATGAGTCCACAGCAGACAAGATCACTCTCGTCTATTATTATTAGTATTATTATTATTATTATATTGTCTATTATTATTATTATTATTAGAAGAAGAAGAAGAAGAAACACAACAAGATGTGTCCACAGCATCATATTATTATTATTATTATTATTATTATTATTATTATTATTATTATTATTATTATTTACAAATGCTGGTTGGCCATCTGTTGGGAGTGTTTTGATTGTGCTTTTCCTACGTGGCAGAAATAAGGGATCTGGACTAGATGACCTCTGGGGTTTCTATTATTATTATTATTATTATTTACAAATGGTTATTTACAAGTAACCTTTGGCTGTTGCTGGGAGTGGTTAGGCAGCATCCTGAAGTTGAACCATTTGGAGTACCAAGGAAACTGCTGGTTGGCCATCTGTTGGGAGTGTTTTGATTGTGCTTTTCCTACATGACAGAAATCAGGGGGTTGGACTGGATGACCTCTGGGGTTTTCTATTATTATTATTATTATTATTATTATTATTATTATTATTATTGTGTGAAACACAAGATGAGTCCACAGCAGACAAGATCACTCTCGTCTATTATTATTAGTATTATTATTATTATTATATTGTCTATTATTATTATTATTATTAGAAGAAGAAGAAGAAGAAGAAGAAACACAACAAGATGTGTCCACAGCATATTATTATTATTATTATTATTATTATTATTATTATTATTATTATTTACAAATGCTGGTTGGCCATCTGTTGGGAGTGTTTTGATTGTGCTTTTCCTACGTGGCAGAAATAAGGGATCTGGACTAGATGACCTCTGGGGTTTCTATTATTATTATTATTATTATTATTATTATTATTATTATTATTATTTACAAATGGTTATTTACAAGTAACCTTTGGCTGTTGCTGGGAGTGGTTAGGCAGCATCCTGAAGTTGAACCATTTGGAGTACCAAGGAAACTGCTGGTTGGCCATCTGTTGGGAGTGTTTTGATTGTGCTTTCCCTGCGTGGCAGAAAGAAGGGGGTTGGACTGGATGACCTCTAGGGTTTCTATTATTATTATTCTATTATTCACGTCACCCTTCCGTAAGTCCTCCCTGCATTCTGACGCTCAGCTGACGGCTTTCCTTCCGTTTCCAGGCGGAACTCGATGCTGATGTCCAACAGCCTGGCCTTCCTGGCGGCCATCCTGATGGGCTTCTCCAAGATGGCCTCCTCCTTCGAGATGCTGATCCTGGGCCGCTTTGTGATCGGGGTCTACTCCGGCCTCACCACAGGCTTCGTGCCCATGTACGTGGGGGAGGTCTCGCCCACCGCCCTGCGCGGCGCCCTCGGCACGCTCCACCAGCTCGGCATCGTGGTCGGCATCCTGGTGGCCCAGGTGAGCAGGCCCACTCCACACCTGGGAACACCTTGTTGTTGTGTCTACACTGTGGACACCACAACAGCAATAATTCACCTGGGAGAAGACCTCTCTAGGCATCTCTAGGTCTTTCGGCAAGACTCAGGGTCCATCTGAAATATGGAAATAATAATAATAATAATAATAATAATAATAATAATAATAATAATAATAATAATAAATGCAGACCAAAACAACCCTCCACTATTTGGCTTTACCTGGGAGAAGACCTCTGTAGGCATCTCTAGGTCTTACAGCATGGCTCAGGGTCCATCTGCAATATGGAAACTATTATTATTATTATTATTATTATTATCATTATTATTATTATTATTATTATTATTATATTAATAATAATAAATGCAGACTAAAACAACCCTCCACTATTTGGCTTTATTTGAAAGAAGACCTCTGTAGGCATCTCTAGGTCTTTCGGCATGGCTCAGGGTCCATCTGCAATATGGAAACTATTATTATTATTATTATTATTATTATTATATTAATAATAATAAATGCAGACTAAAACAACCCTCCACTATTTGGCTTCACCTGGGAGACCTCTATAGGCATCTCTAGGTCGTACATCATGGCTCAGGGTCCATCTGCAATATGGAAATTAATTAATAAATAATAATAATAATAATAATAATAATAATAATAATAATTGCTAACTATAACAACCCTCTGCTAATAGGCTTTACCTGGGAGAAGACTTCTGTAGGCATCTAGGTCTTTTGGTATAACAACAATAATAATAATAATAATAATAATAATAATAATAATAATAATAATAATAACGACAACAATATATTTATTATTATTTTGCCCCACTTCGAGCACAAGATGAGTGTAAATAATAATAAATGTACGTATAAATATATTATAATATTTATAAAATAATAGTAATATAATATATAAACACATAATATTGTATAATTATAATATATACAGTATTTGTCATATTATTTAATCATAATATATATAATATAATAATTATGTAATAATATACTATATATATAAAATATTTTACTGTATATAATTATTCTTATATATATTATTACGGCATAATTATAATTATATATGTATAGTTTACATGCAGAATATATAATTATTATATTATGCATTATCATTTTATATTCATATTTTACATACATATATTCTAATATTACAATATGTTATAATATTATATCATTATTAGTTTGTGGGATTAACATAACTCAAAAACCATTGGAGGAATTGACACCAAATTTGGACACAAGACACCTATTATGTCAACGAGTGACCATCACTCATAAAAAAATGGAATAATACAGTGGAAGAAATTTTAAAAGCCAAAAAATAAAAAAATACATTACAATGCACGTGCAAAACAACATATTTTCACATATACACAAATATATAGACACACATATACATATATATACAAAACACATATACATAGACTGGGCCACAGCAACGCGTGGCAGGGGACGGCTAGTATATTTATATTTTACATACATATATATTACATTATTTCCATTATTTATATATTTATATTATATATATATATATATATATATATATATATATATATAGTATTATATCCTTATATATTTTTGCATACATATATATTACATTATTTTCATTATAAATTTATATTTTACATACATATGTATATATTATAATATTACAATATACATTATAATATTATATCATTATCATTGTATAGTTATATTTTACATATATATATAGTATTATATCCTTATATATTTATATTTTACATACATATATATTACATTTTTACATTATTATTATTACATTATTACATATATTACATTATTTCCATTATTTATATATTTATATATTACATACATATGTATATATTATAATATTATAATATTACAATACATATTATAATATTATATCATTCACTATACAGTTGTATTTTACATATATAATATTATATCCTTCATATATTTATAATTTACATACATATATATTACATTATTTTCATTGTATATTTATATATTACATGCATATGTCTATATTATAATATTACAATATATATAATAATATATCATTATCATTATACAGTTATATTTTACATATATATATATAGTATTATATCCTTATATATTTATTTTTGCATACATATATATTACATTATTTTCATTATATATTTATATATTACATGCATATGTCTATATTAAAATATTACAATATATATTATAATATTATATTATATCATTATCATTATATAGTTATATTTTACATATATATAGTATTATATCCTTATCACATATTTATATTTTTACATACATATATATTACATTATTTTCATTATATATTTATATATTACATGCATATGTCTATTATAATATAATATTATAATATATATTGTAATATTATAATATTACAATATATATTATAATATATCATTATCATTGTATAGTTATATTTTACATATATATATAGTATTATATCCTTATAATATATTTATATTTTTACATACATATATATATATATTATAATATTACTATATTATAATATATTAACATTATATAGTTCTGTTGTTATATATATATATATATATATCATAATGTATAATTATAATAATTATTATACACATATATTGTCAGAGTGAAAAATCGGGAGTGAAAAATGCGCAGCGGAATAGGTTGCTAGATCAAACAGACACGGGACTCCAACAATTCCAGGACTCTGCAGTTTTCCAGTTTTAAAATAACATAAAGTTTACTAAGTACATCTCAATACACGTCTACTTCTAAGCGGGCAAAATCGGGAACTACAAAGCACAGCTACATTACGGTTTCAGAACATCTGCTTATCAGGCTCTCTGGCTGCAAGCCGGATACTCCCTATTTCTTCCCAGCCAGAGAAACTCGTTATCTAACTTCTGTCAAGGTCTCTTCTCTCTCTACCTCTCTGTCTCTTACAACAGTTCCAACACCTAATTGAACATAACAGAATCCATCTTGAGTACATATTAATACCATTCTTAATCATATAGATACGCATTGAAAAAACATACATGCATACTTTCAATAATCCTGACATACATGTTATGATATTACAATATATGAGTGTTTCAATTGCTTATATGTTCCTCTTCTTCTCCTCCTCTTTCTCCAGATCTTCGGCATGGACCTGATCATGGGGAGCAAGGAGCTGTGGCCGCTGCTGCTGGGCTTCGTCTTCATCTTTGCCTTGATCCAATGCGCCATGCTGCCCTTCGCCCCCGAGAGCCCCCGCTTCCTCCTCATCAACCGCAACGAGGAGAACAAGGCCAAGAGCGGTGAGCTGATGACCCTGTTTTTAAAGTCTCTTCCTCAGTCCCCTTCCTCCTCCTAGCTGGCTTGGGAGGGGGAGAGAAGCAGCAGGATTTCCTCCTTCTCCTCCTGAGGTGGCAGGCAGATGTAGTAAGCAACAGCCAGGAGACAGGTGTTTTTTAAAGTCTCTTCCTCAGTCCCCTTCCTCCTCCTAGCTGGCTTGGGAGGGGGAGAGAAGCAGCAGGATTTCCTCCTTCTCCTCCCGAGGTGGCAGGCAGATGTGGTAAGCAACGGCCAGGAGACAGGTGTTTTTAAAGTCTCTTCCTCAGTCCCCTTCCTCCTCTTAGCTGGCTTGGGAGGGGGAGAGTAGCAGCAGGATTTCCTCCTTCTCCTCCTGAGGTGGCAGGCAGATGGAGTATTGTTGGTGGGGGGAGGGGCACCCAACTGATGACCCAGGAGACATGGTGGAAATCTGTCTTCCTGGCTGCCCCTCTTCACTCTATATGTTTAGTCTATATAGATACAGATAGATAGATAGATAGATAGATAGATAGATAGATAGATAGATAGATAGATCTATATCATATCTGTGGCCATTTATTTTTTGCTGGGTGGCCATCTGTTAGGAGGGATTGGGTTGTGCCTTTCTATTGGGTCGAAGTAGATGGCCCTTGGGGTCCCTTCCCAAGTTTAGGATTCTATGATATCTATATCTATATATATTAGTCGTATCTATGGCCATCTACTAGATAGATAGATAGATAGATAGATAGATAGATAGATAGATAGATAGATAGATAGATAGATAGATAATCAGATAAAAGGATGGATGGATGGATGGATGGATGGATGGATGGATGGATGGATAGATAGATAGATAGATAGATAGATAGATAGATAGATAGATAATCAGATAGATGGATGGATGGATGGATGGATGGATGGATGGATAGATAGATAGATAGATAGATAGATAATCAGATAGATAGATAGATAGATAGATAGATAGATAGATAAGTAGATATGACAAGAGATAGATAGACAGAGAGGGAGGGAGAGATGGATCTACCTGTTCTGCCAGGAAGGAAGGCATAATCAATCCCTCTCTACAGATGGCCACGCAGCCTCTGCTTAAGAACTTCCAGAGAAGGAAGGAGCCTCCACCAGGCTCCCAGACAGCCTATATTGAACCGCCTGATGTTTCTCCTCCGAGCTCAACGTGCCTCTGTTTCCTTCCAGTCCTGAAGAAGCTTCGCGGCACGACAGACGTGAGCAGCGACCTGCAGGAGATGAAGGAGGAGAGCCGGCAGATGATGCGGGAGAAGAAGGTGACCATCCCGGAGCTCTTCCGCTCCCCCATGTACCGGCAACCCATCCTCATCGCCGTCGTCCTCCAGCTCTCCCAGCAGCTCTCCGGCATCAACGCGGTAAGGAGGAGGCTCGCAAACATCATTTGCATATATATATTTGCATATATTTGCATATACTAGCTGTCCACTGCCACGCGTTGCTGTGGCCCAGTCTGTGTGTATGTGTTTTGTGTGTATATATAAGAATATATATGTGTGTTTGTGTATATGAATGTGGTTTTGTGGGAAGGATGGGGGCGGAGCCACGGGAGTCATTTTTGTGCATGCACTGTCCCTTGTTTTTATTATTTTTGGCGTTTAAACTCCCTTCCGCTGTGTTTTTATAAGTGATGGTCACTCGTTGGCCTGAGAGGTGTCTTGTGTCCAAATTTGGTGTCAATTCGTCCAGTGGTTTTTGAGTTCTGTTAATCCCACAAACTAACATTATATTTTAGGGGGCGGAGCTACAGTTGTTTTTGTGCATGTGTTGTACCTTGTTTTTATTATTTTTGACTTTTAAAGTCCCTTCCGCTGTGTTTTTATGAGTGATGGTCACTCGTTGGCCCGAGAAGAGTCTTGTGTCCAAATTTGGTGTCAATTCGTCCAGTGGTTTTTGAGTTATGTTAATCCCACAAACTAACATTACATATATATCGTTTTGCGCATGCGTTGTAATGTATGGGGGGGTTAGGCCCCTTCCGCTGTGTTTCTCAGTGTTTTTATGAGTGATGGTCACTCGTTGGCCTGAGAGGTATCTTGTGTCCAAATTTGGTGTCAATTCGTCCGGTGGTTTTTGAGTTATGTTAATCCCACAAACTAACATTACATATATATGGTTTTGCGCATGCGTTGTAATATTTTGGGGGAGAGTTAAGCCCCTTCCGCTGTGTTTTTCAGTGTTTTTATGAGTGATGGTCACTCGTTGGCCTGAGAAGAGTCTTGTGTCCAAATTTTGGTGTCAATTCATCCAGTGGTTTTTGAGTTATGTTAATCCCACAAACTAACATTACATATATATGGTTTTGCGCATGCGTTGTATTTGGGGGGGGGGGTTAAGCCCCTTCCGCTGTGTTTTTCAGTGTTTTTATGAGTGATGGTCACTCGTTGGCCTGAAATGTGTCTTGTGTCCAAATTTGGTGTCAATTCGACCCGTGGTTTTTGAGTTATGGTAATCCCACAAACTAACATTACATTCATATATAGATATATATATATATCTACATAACCAATTCACATAACCTAAAAAGTCATTTTGTACACAGAATATACACAAACCTTTAAGCGGCAGGATGCAAAACTCTACTGTGAAGTTCGGACTAAAGCCCGGAGCGGACGTGAACACTCTATGCAGTTTAGGAGCCATCAGCAAAGATTTGTGTTTTGCGATACCTCATCCCTAAGAGATCTCTCTCTGTGTTCTGGACTTTTCCGTGCAGGTCTTCTACTATTCGACGAGCATCTTTGAGAAATCCGGGGTCCAGCAGCCCGTGTACGCCACCATTGGCTCCGGGGTCGTCAACACGGCCTTCACCGTCGTCTCGGTGCGTAGCTCCCTTTTGGGAAAAACAGGGGAATCTCTCTCTATAATAATATTATATTAATAATAATTATTAATTATTATTAATAATAATTTATTATTATTTATTATTATTATTAATTATTATTAATAATAAATATTAATTATTAATAATTATTAATAATAATTAATAATTAGTACTTATTAATAATCATTTATTAATAATAAATATAAATAATTACTACTAATAATTAATCTCCATCATCTTCTTCCAAACCCATGAAGAATAATGACATTTCCCATTCAAGACTGAACAAATAAAATGTATTATTATCACTATATAATAGTCATATTAATATAACATAATTACCATTTTGTTATTATCATTAATAATATTATTATTACATTACGTTATTAGCATTACAATAATATTAATAGCATGAATTTATTACCTTTTCATTATTATTAATAGTAGTAATTTTATTGATTAGCCCTTAGGCCATTCACAATGCCAAACAAAACAGCAAGGCTTGTTATATTATTAATATATCATAATTATTAATAATATAATAATATTACTATTGCATTATAATTATATAGATAAAATAATAATATAATAGTGTATTATTATGATTTTATCATTATATAATTATAATGTAATGTAATTATATTACATTATGGTTATTACATTTTATTATCCTGTTACGTTATTTTTTATTATTACATTATTGTTTTTATCATTATATTATGTTACATCATATTTATTGTATTTTTCTTATCATTATATTCCTTTTTCTTACTACATTATTATATCCTATCATTATTACAGTTTATTCTATTACATTATTTTTATTATTATATTATTTTTTCTTAGATTCTTTTTTATCATTATATAATATAATAATAAAAAGAATATAAAAGTAATATCATAATAAAATGTCTTATAATAATGTGATATAATAATATAATATAAGAATACAATAATAAATACAATGTAATAATACAGTGATATAATATTAATGTAATAATAATATAATGATAAAAAGGAATATAAAAAGGATACTATAATAATAAATATAATGTAATATAATATTCATGATTATATTATATTTATATTCTTTTTATTATTGTATTCTTATTTTTATTATATTATTATATCACATTATTATATGACATTTTATTTATTAGTATATTATTCTTAGTTTTATTATCATTATATTCTTTTTCTCATCATTTTCTTCTTATTATATCATATTATTATTATTACATTTTATTGTATTACATTGTATTTATTGTTATATTATTCTTGTTATTATATGTTTATTATATTATTATATCACTTTATTATTTTTAACATTTTATTCATTTATTATATTATTCTTATTATTTCACGTTATTATAATATTACATTTTAATTATTATTCTTATTTTATTACATGTTTATTATATTATTATATCACTTTATTATTTTTTACATTTTATTCATTTATTATATTCTTATTTTTATTAATTATATTATTTTTATTATTTCACGTTATTATAATATTACATTTCATTTATTCTTATTTTATTACATGTTTATTATATTATTATATCGCTTTATTATTTTTTACATTTTATTCATTTATTATATTATTCTTATTTTTATTAATTATATTATTTTTATTATTTCACGTTATTATAATATTACATTTTAATTATTCTTATTTTATTACATGTTTATTATATTATTATATTGCTTTATTATTTTTTACATTTTATTCATTTATTATATTATTCTTATTTTTGTTTATTATATTATTTTTATTATTTCACATTATTATAATATTACATTTTAATTATTATTCTTATTTTATTACATGTTTATTATATTATTATATCGCTTTATTATTTTTTACATTTTATTTATATTCTTATTATTTATATTCTTATTATTTCACATTATTATAATATTACATTTTAATTATTATTAGTCTTATTTTTCTCATGGTCTTCTTCCTTTGTCCGTAGCTCTTTGTGGTGGAGCGGGCCGGGCGGCGGACGCTGCACTTGGTGGGCTTGGCCGGCATGGCGGGCTGCGCCGTCCTCATGACCATCGCCTTGGCCCTCCTGGTGAGTCGCGCGGAAAATTCACGAAAACGAACAAAATGCGCAGAACTTGGACTGTTTGCCGCTTGGGAGTCCAGTGGAGTCTCGTTCTCTGGAAATTTGAAGCAGAGGCTGGGTGGACATCTGTTGGGAGGGATTGGATTGTGTCTAGATGGGTGTCCCTTCCAACTTTTGCATTGTATATATAGAATGCAAAAGTTGGAAGGGACACCCATCTAGACACAGTCCAATCCCTCCCAACAGATGTATCCTATATTTTATATGTATACTAGCTGTGCCCTGCCACGCGTTGCTGTGGCCTATAGTAAAACTTATCAAAGTTGAGGTAGATATCTGGACTATTATGAAAGAGAGGTCCCTACCTATTCCTTCCCCCTTTTCCTCCCCCTTTCTCTCCTTTCTTCCTTCTCTACCTCTTTCTTTCTTTCCTTCTTTCACTCCTTGGTTTCATCCTTCTCTCTTCCCTTCATTCCCTCCCCCTTTCTTCCTTTGCCTTTCTTCCCTCCCTGTTTGCTTCCTTCTTTCACTTTTTATTTCCTTTTATTTCACCACCATCATAACAATAACAATAATGCAATGCATTGCCTCCGGGACCTGACACCTCTCCCATTCCCCCTAAAAGGGTCTCATAGGAACAATAGCATCATAATAATCATAGAAATAACAACCTTTACCCGCCACGTGTTGCTGTGGCCAACCTTCCCTCTTTCTCTCCTTCTTTCCCTCTTTCCTTCCTTCCTTCCCTCCCATCTTTCCTTCTCCTCTTCCTTCTCTACCTCTTTCCTTCCTTCCCCCTTTTTCTTTCTCTTCTGGTCATTTTTCTTTCTCTCTTTCCTTCTTTCCTTCCCTCCCTCTTTCTCTACATCTTCCCCTTCCTTCACTCCCTCTTTCCTTCCTTCATTCCCTTTTTTCTTTCCTTCTCTCCTTCCTTCCTTCCCCCTTTTTCTTTCCCTCCCTCTGTCTCTCATTTCTTCCTTCTCTACCTCTTTCCTTCCTTCCCCCTTTTTTTTCTCTTCTGCTGTGCGCCAATGCGCATGCTCAGTTGTTTTGTCGTTTTGTGAGTGTGTTGTTGTGTTGTTTTTCATTTTGAGTAGATATGTTTGTACCTTGTGGGTTGTGTTATGGGCATGGGAATTTTGGTTAAGTTTCGTTGGGGGTTTTAGAGTTTTGCTGTCCCGTTGAACCAACCTAACAGATTTATATATATAGATAATATCACCATGTATCTTTGGCTGGATGGTCATCTGTCAGTAGGGATCAGATTGTGCCTTTCTGTTGGGTTGAACTAGATGACCCTTGGGATCCCTTCCAACTAGCATTCTGTGATATATTGAGCCCCTCTCTCTATATATATATCTATCTATCTATATCAGTGTTTCTCAACCTTCCTAATGCCGTGACCCCTTAATACAGTGCCTCATATGGTGGTGACCCCCAATCATAACATTATTTTCATTGTGACTTCATCACTGGAATTTTGCTACGGTTATGAATTATAATGTAAATATCTGATATGCAGGATATATTTTCATTTACTGTAACAAATCTGGCACAAATACCCAAGACTCCCAAATTTGAATACTGGCGTGGTTGGGGGGGGGGGGGATATTGATTTTGGCATTTGAGAGTTGTAGTTGCTGGGATTTATAGTTCACCTCCAATCAAAGAGTATTCTGAACTCCACCAACGATGGAATTGAACCAAACTTGGCACAGAGAACTCCCATGACCTATAGAAAATACTGGAAGGGTTCGGTGGGAGTTGTAGTTCCCCTTCATCCAGAAAGCACTGTGGACTCAAGCAATAATGAATCTAGCTCAGGCAGGGAGACAGTAGTGCAGCAGGGTGGTCGGTACACTAATAGAATCCCCGTCCTGTCCTGGTCAGCTTGGCACACATACTCAATATACCCAAATGTCAGTGGAGTTTGGGGAAATACATGTTGACATTTGGGAGTTGTAGTTGCTGGGATTTATAGTTCACCTACAATCAAAGAGCATTCAGAACCCCACCAACGATGGAATTGGGCCAAACCTCCCACACAGAACTGTATTTTCTGATGGTCTTTGGCGACCCCTCTGACACCCCCTTGTGACCCCTCCAGGGGTCCCGACCCCCAGGTTGAGAAACACTGATCTATATATATATCTATATATATAAAAATGTTCATGTCGTCGTGAGTACCTTAAAAACAAAAACAAAAAACTATGGGGCCAAATGACCCCAACTTCGGCAACAAAACGTCTCACAACACAAGGTTTGACCAACAATAATAAAGAAAACAAAATATACTTACAACTCCTAAAAAAGGAGTCCCTTCCAACTCTAGCATTCTAATATATATATATATATATATATATATATATATATATGGATGGCCATCTATTGGGAGGGATCAGATTGTGTCTTCCTGTTGGGTTGAACTAGAAGACCCTTGGGGTCCCTTCCAGTTCTAGCATTCTATGATATATCTAGCAGATAGATAGATAGATAGATAGATAGATAGATAGATAGATAGATAGATAGATATGGATGGCCATCTATTGGGAGAGATTGAATTGTGCCGTCTTGTTGGATGGCAACTCTAGGATTCTATGATATAGATATATAGATAGATCTGTATCATACCTATGGCCATCTTTCTGGCTGGATGGACATCTGTGAGGAGGGATCGGATTGTGCCTTTCTGTTGGGTTGAATTAGATGGCCCTTCTATTATATATATTTAGTGTATATGTGTGTGTGTTTGTGTGTGTATGTATATATATATAATCGCCATCTTACTTTGGCTGGATGGCCTTCTGTCAGGAGGGATCGGATTGTGCCTTCCTGTTGGACTGGATGGGGTCCCTTCCAAGTAGGATTCTGTAGTATATATATAATCTAGCATGCGTGTGTGTGTGTGTGTGTGTGTGTGTGTGTGTGTATGTGTGTGTGTATATATATATATAGGATTCTGTAGTATATATATAATCTAGCGTGCATGTGTGTGTGTATATATATAGGGCCCTGTCTATCTTTTGCTGGATGGCCATCTGTTAGGAGGGATTGGATTGTGCCTTCCTGTTGGGTTGAATTAGATGGCCCTTCTATTATATATATTTAGTGTGTGTGTGTGTGTGCGTATGTGTGTGTGTGTGTGTGTATATATATATATATTCGCCATCTATCTTTGGCTGGATGGCCTTCTCTTAGGAGGGATCGGATTGTGCCTTTCTGTTGGACTGGATGGGGTCCCTTCCAAGTAGGATTCTGTAGTATATATATAATCTAGCATGCGTGTGTGTGTGTGTGTGTGTGTGTGTGTGTGTGTATGTGTGTGTGTGTATATATATATATATATATATATATATATATATATATATATATATGGCCCTGTCTATCTTTTGCTGGATAGCCATCTGTTAGGAGGGATTGGATTGTGCCTTCTTGTTGGGATGAACTAGATGGCCCTTCTATTATATATATTTAGTGTGTTTTTGTGTGTGTGTGTGTGTGTGTGTGTATAATCGCCATCTAACTTTGGCTGGATGGCCTTCTGTCAGGAGGGATCGGATTGTGCTTTCCTGTTGGACTGGATGGGGTCCCTTCCAAGTAGGATTCTGCAATATATATATAACCTAGTGTGTGTGTGTGTGTGTGTGTGTGTATAGGGCCCTGTCTATCTTTTGCTAGATGGCCATCTGTTAGGAGGGATCGGATTGTGCCTTTCTGTTGGACTGGATGGGGTCCCTTCCAAGTAGGATTCTGTAGTATATATATAATCTAGCATCCATGTGTGTGTGTGTGTGTGTGTGTGTGTATATATATATAGGGCCCTGTCTATCTTTTGCTGTATAGCCATCTGTCAGGAGGGATCGGATTGTGCCTTCCTGTTGGTTTGTAGGGCCCTGTGTGTGTGTAGGGCCCTGTCTATCTTTTGCTGGATGGCCATCTGTTAGGAGGGATCGGATTGTGCCTTCCTGTTGGGATGAACTAGATGGCCCTTGGGGTCCCCTCCCAACTTTAGGATTCTGTGCTATCTATATATATCAGTCGTACTTTTGGCTGGAGGGCCATCTGTCAGGAGGGCTTTGATGGCATCTTCTTGGGGTTGGACTGGATGGCCCTTGGGGTCTCTTCCAACTCTGGGATGCTACGAAACAGCAAGATTGAGATGTTTCTAGTTACGTGCAGAGTGTCTCCGTTTCCGTTGTCCCTTGATGGACAGCAGCTTTTCCCCAAACCGATGGGCCAGGGGTTGGGCTGATGGGAGTTGTAGTCCCCCCTGTGGGGAGGGAAAGGCGTGGCTGACCCTCTCTCTCTCTCTCTCTCTCTCTCTCTTTCTGGGGGTCTCAGGACCAGATGGCCTGGATGTCGTACCTGAGCATCATCGCCATCTTTGGCTTCGTGGCCTTCTTTGAGATTGGGCCGGGCCCCATCCCCTGGTTCATCGTGGCCGAGCTCTTCAGCCAGGGACCCCGCCCGGCCGCCTTCGCCGTGGCCGGACTCTCCAACTGGACCTCCAACTTCATCGTGGGCATGGGCTTCCAGTACATCGAGGTAGGACCACCACCACCAACACCCCCCCCCCCCCAGGCTTGCTTGCTTTCTACCTACCTATCTTTTTCTTTCTTTCTTTCTTTCTTTCTTTCTTTCTTTCTTTCTTTCTTTCTTTCTTTCTTTCTTTCTTTCTCTCCCTCTCTATCTATCTTTATCTATCTATCTATCTATCTATCTATCTTTCTTTCTTTTTCTTTCTATCTTTTTCTTTCTTTCTTTCTTTCTCTATCTTTTTCTTTCTATCTATCTTCCTTTCTTTCTTTTTCTATCTATCTATATCTATCTCTTTTCTTTCTCTTTTTCTCTATCTATATTTTTCTTTCTATCTCTATCTTTCTTTCTTTCTCTTTTTCTTTCTATCCATCTTTCTCTTTCTATATTTTTCTTTCTATCTATCTTTATTTTTCTTTCTCTCTCTCTATCTTTTTCTTTCTATCTCTTTCTTTCTTTCTTTCTTTCTTTTTCTTTCTCTTTTTCTCTCTATCCCTATCTATCTATCTATCTATCTATCTATCTATCTATCTATCTATCTATCTATCTTTTCCTATCTATCTATCTATCTATCTATCTATCTATCTATCTTTTTCTTTCTTTCTCTTTTTCTTTCTTTCTCTCTATCCCTATCTATCTTTTTCTTTCTTTCTATCTCTCTTTCTCTTTCTCTTTTTATTTCTTTCTCTATCTCTATCTTTTTCTTTCATTCTATCTTTCTTTCTCTTTTTCTCTCTATCTCTATCTATCTTTTTCTTTCTTTTTCTTTCTTTCTTTTTTTCTTTCTATCTCTATCTTTTTCTATCCATCTTTCTCTTTCTTTCTCTCTTTTTCTCTTTCTATCTCTATCTTTTTCTTTCTATCCATTTATCTCATTTCTTTCTATATTTCTATCTGTATCTATATTTCTTTCTTTCTCTTATTCTATCTATCTATCTATCTATCTATCTATCTTTTTCTTTATTTCTCTTTGTTTTTTTCTAGCTATTTTTTCTATCTTTCTCTTTCTATCAATCTATCTCTTTCTATCTTTATCTGTCTATCCATCCATCCATCTATCTACCTTTCTTCTTCCCTTGCTTTCGCCCTTTCCTTTCTCCCTTTCCCTCATACACCTTCCCCCTCTCCCTCTTTTCTTTTCTTCTTTTCTTTCTTTCTTTATTTCTTTCTGCCTTCCTCTTTCTTTTCTCCCATCCCTTTGTACTTTTTCTCCTTTCTTTCTCTTCCTTCCTTCCCTCCTTTCTTTGTTTTCCCTTCTTCTTTTGTTTTCTTTTTCCTTTCCCTCCCTTCCTCCCGAGTGTCATACACAGGCCACCTTTCTTCTCCAGTGACATCCCAGAGGGCCACTTCACCCAGCCACAACCTTTGTATAATGCAAACCAACACACATCCAGGCATACCTTGGCTTTGGGCTGGATAGGGAGATGGGATGGGTGGGTGGGTGGATGTATAGATAGATAGATAGATAGATAGATAGATAGATAGATAGATAGATAGATGATTAGGTAGGTAAGTAGGTGGATGGATAGCTAGATATATAGACTCTTAGAGTTGGAAGAGACCCCAAGGGTCATCTAATCCAACCCATAGATAGATAGATAATCAGATAGATCAATAAGATAGGTGATCTGATAGATAGATAGATAGATAGATAGATAGATAGATAGATAGATAGACAGACAGACAGACAGACAGACAGACAGACAGACAGACAGACAGACAGACAGATGAATGATCAGATAGATAGATGATCAGGTAGAAAAATAGGTAGGTGGGTGGGTGGGTGGATAGATGGATAGATAGATAGATAGATTCCTAGAGTTGCAAGAGACCCCAAGGGTCATCCAATCCAACCCTTAGATAGATAGATAGATGATCAGATAGAAAAATATAGATGGATAGATAGATTCCTAGAGTTGCAAGAAACCCCAAGGGTCATCTAATCCAATCCACAGATAGATAGACGGATGGATAGATGGATAGGTAGGTAGGTAGGTAGGTAGGTAGGTAGGTAGATAGATAGATAATCAGAGAGATAGGTAGACAGATAGATACCTAGAGTAGGAAGAGACCCCAGGGCCTATCTAGTCCAACCCTTAAGAATAGATAGGAAGATGGATGGATGGATGGATGGATTGATGGATAGGTAGATAGATAGATAGATAGATAGATAGATAGATAGATAGATAGGAAGATAGGAAATCCTAGAGTAGGAACCCTATGGGCCATCCCTAGATAGATAGATAGATAGATAGATAGATAGATAGATAGATAGATAGATAGATAGCAATATGGATGGATGGATGGAGAGAGGGATAGAAAGATGGATGGATGGATGGATGGATGGATGGATAGGCGTTTGAGGAGGCTGCAAGGGGTGTTGAGGCCCCCCCAGTTGATGCTGCCTTCTCCCCTCCTCTTCCTCCCTCCTTCCAGGAGTTGTGTGGCGCCTACGTCTTCATCATCTTCATGGTGCTGCTGGTGATCTTCTTTGTCTTCACCTACTTCAAGGTGCCCGAGACCAAGGGCCGGACCTTCGACGAAATTGCCTCGGGCTTCCGCCAGGGGGGTGCCGGGGCCGGCGGGGACAAGACCCCCGACGAGTTCCACAGCCTTGGCGCCGACTCCCAGGTCTGAGGGTCTCCAGGAGGGGAGGAACGGGACGGGACGGACCCTCTCTCCCCCTTTTAGGGTGGAAGCGGACTCGCTCGACCCTCGTCTTGTTGGCCGGCTTCGCGTCCGGCGACAAATCCTGGGCGAGCCCCCAATTTGGAAGCGACCCAACCGGCGTTTCCCTGTATTTGCAACACTGGAAGCGAGCAACAGCGAGATCAACGATGACACAGGATCATTGGAAAGACACTGATTCCAGAAGGCCCGACTACTTCTTTTTAAAGGCTTTTTAGTTAGCGCGATAGGCATGGATTCGTAGGTCAAGCTCTCACCAGCATTTTCTTTTAACGAATCCATGGGCTTTTAAACAATGTTTTGGACTTTTTTGGTATCCGACGGGCGACTTCTTCCATCTAGAAAGGTCAATGGGAATATTTCGGCACGCCGTCTTGGAATATTCGGATATATTCTTGGAATGGGACGCATCGCAAGCCGAGTTTGAACGGTCATCGCCTTTGACGACGCCCTTCACCTTGATTTGGAACCGTTCCATTTTGTATTTTGACGCGTTTCCTAAGCAGTAACTCATCACCAGCAACGAGCAAGACAAGGGGCCAATTTTAGCAATAGGAAAAACCTCAAAGAGCGAGAGAGGCTGGATGGACATCTGTCAGGATGGTTTTGATTGTGGTTTTCCTGCCTAAAAGCAGAAGGGGGTTGGACTGGATGGCCTTTAGAGGTCCCTTTTGACTGTCTTTTCTCTCTCTTCCCTTTATATATGTGTCACCTTTCTTCCTTTCCCAGCAACGTCCCAGAGGGCCACTTCACCTAGTAGTAGCGATTCCTATGACATCAGAGGACCACTTCACCTAGCCTTTTGTGTTCCAAACCTACATAGATTTTGACTTTTGAGATATAGAGAGAGTTGGAAGAGACCCCCAAAGGCCATCCAACCCTATCCTCCCCTTTATACATGTCACCTTTCTTTCCCAAAGGGCCACTTCACCTGAGTGCGATACAGAATCATAGAATCGTTGAGTTGGAAGAGAGCTCGTGGGCCAGGCACAGCTTTAGTGTGATACATGCTATGTGTGTGTGTGTATGTATGTGAAAGAAAGGAAGAGAGAAGGAAGAAAGGCTAGATGGAGAGAGAGAGAGATGGAGAGAGAGTAGGGCAAGATCCTGAGGGCCATCCAGTCCAACCCGACAGAGATACATACAATCCTAGAGTTGAAGAAGACCCCAATGGCCATTCAGTCCGACCCCCAAAGAAAGAGACCATCCTAGAGTTGGAGAAAACCCTAATTGCCACCCAGTCCAACCCTACAGAGATACGACAGACAGCATCCTAGAGTTGGAGGGGATCCCAAGGGTCATCCAGTCCAACCCTACAGAGATACATACAATCCTAGAGTTGAAGAAGACTCCAATGGCCATTCGGTCCAACCCCTAAAGAAAGAAACCATCCTAGAGTTGGAGAAGACCCCAATGGCCACCCACTCCAACCCTAGTTGAACCCATCAGAGATAGATAATCAGACAGAATCCTAGAGTTGGAAGAGACCTGGATGGCCATCTAGTTGAACCCTTCAGAGGTCCAACATCTGGGGACCCACAGGTTGGGAATATATCTAATTTCTTCTCTCTTGTTTCTGCTCTCATTCTGATTGGTTGATTAAAACCCCCAAAGAAAGAAAGAAGTGATCCTAAAGTTCGAGGGGAACCCAAGGGCCATCCAATCCAATCCATAAGAGGTAGATAATCAGGTGGAATCCTAGAGTTGGAAGAAACCTTAATGGCCATCCAGTCCGACTACAAAAGAAAGGCAGGCAGACATCATCATAGAGTTGGAGGGGACCCCAAAGGCTATCCAGTCCATCTTATAAGAGATAGATAGGATCCTAGAGTTGGAAGAGACCTGGATGGCCATCTAGTTGGACCCTTCAGAGATAGATAGAATCCCAGAGTTGGAAGAGATCTCAATGGCCATCTAGTTGAACCCTTCAGAGATAGATAGGATTCTGGAGTTGGAAGAGACCTCCGTGGCCATTAGTTGAACCCTTCAGAGATAGATAATCAGATAGAATCCTAGAGTTGAATCCATCTAGTTGAACCCTTCAGAGATAGATAGGATCCTAGGGTTGGAAGAGACTTCAGTGGCCATCTAGTTGAACCCTTCAGAGATAGATAATCAGATAGAATCCTAGAGCTGGAAGAGACCTGGATGGCCATCTAGTTGAACCCTTGAGAGATAGATAGAATCCTAGAGTTGGAAGAGACCTCAATGGGCATCCAGTTGAACCCTTCAGAAATAGGATCCTAGAGTTAGAAAACACCTCAATGACCATCTAGTTCAGTGGTTCTCAACCTGGGGGTCGGGACCCCTGGGAGGGTCGCGAGGGGGTGTCAGAGGGGTCGCCAAAGACCATCAGAAAACACAATATTTTCTGTTGGTCATGTGGGTTCTGTGTGGGAAGTTTGGCTCAATCCTATGGTTGGCTCTTTGATTGTAGGTGAACTATAAATCCCAGCAACTACAACTCCCAAATGTCAAGGTCCGTTTCCCCCCAAACTCCACCAAACATTTGGGCATATTGAGTATTCGTGCCAACTTTGGTCCAGATCCATCATTGTTTGAGTCCACAGTGCTCTCTGGATGTAGGTGAACTACAACTCCCAAACTCAAGGTCCATGCCCACCAAACCCTTCTAGTGTTTTCTCTTGATCATGGGAGTTCAGTGTGCCAAGTTTGGTTCAATTCCATCATTGGCGGAGTTCAGACTGCTCTTTGGTTGTAGGTAAACTATGAATCCCAGCAACAACAACTCCCAAATGACAAAATCAATCCCCCCTCCAATCCCACCAGTATTCAAATGTGGGCGTATCAGGAAGATACATCTTACATATTAGATATTTACATTGCAATTCATAACAGTAGCAAAATTACGGTTATGAGGTAGCAGCGAAAATAGTGTTATGGTTGGGGGTCACCACAACAGGAGGACCTGTACTAAGGGGTCTTGGCATTAGGAAGGTTGAGAACTACTGATCTAGTTGAACCCATCTGAGATAGGATCCTAGAGTTGGAAAAGACCTCAGTGACCATCTAGTCGAACTCATCAGAGATAGGATCCTAGAGTTGGAAAAGACCTCAATAACCATCCAGTTGAACCTTTCAGAGATAGAGAGAATCCCAGAGTTGGAAGAGACCTCAATGGCCATCCAGTTGAACCCTTCATAGATAGATAGAATCCTAGAGTTGGAAAAGACCTCAATGACCATCCTGTTGAACCCTTCATAGATAGATAGAATCCTAGAGTTGGAAAAGACCTCAATAACCATCCAGTTGAACCTTTCAGATTTAGATAGAATCCTAGAGTTGGAAAAGACCTCAATGGCCATCCAGTTGAACCTTTCAGAGATAGAATCCTAGAGTTGGAAGAGACCTCAATAACCATCCAATTGAACCCTTCAGAGATAGATAAAATCCTAGAGTTGGAAGAGACCTCAATGGCCATCCAGTTGAACCCTTCCGAGATAGAATCCTAGAGTTGGAAGAGACCCCAATGACCAGCCAGTTGAACCCTTCAGAGTTGGAAGAGACCCTAATGGCCATCCAGTTGAACCCTTCAGAGATAGAGAGAATCCTAGAGCTGGAAGATACCTGGATGGCCATCTACTTGAACCCTTCAGAGATAGAATACTAGAGTTGGAAGAGACCTCAATGGCCAATCCAGTCGAACCCATCAGAGATAGATAGGATCCTATAAGAGAGAGAGAGTTTCGTAGACTTGGAAGAGACCCCAAGGGACCCCCTTCGACCATATTATATCTTATTAGGTTGGTCTCAATGCCCTAAAGCAGTGAAGGTGAAGGGGAAAGCCATCGGCCAACGAGTTGATGTTCTCTGTTAGGAACTGATGATGGTTGCTGAAGATACGAAGGGATTGGTCAGTTTTTGCGACCCCGACGGGCCTGTTTTGCTGGGGATGGTGACGTTGGAAAAGGGGAAGAGGATGCCAAAAAACAAAAAGCCCCAAAGAACAAAAGATTGACTTGATTTTGGGGGGTTTTGTGGGTCACAAAAGAAAGGAAACCCGTGAAAAGGAGACCTTTCCTGCTTTGACTTGTGTACAGACCGGGGAAACACACAAATAATATTTATATTATATATATATTGTATTTTTGGGGGGACGTCGTTCTTGAAACCACGTTCAATTTCACTGTAAATACTGACTTCTAGGATTTTCTCTAGTTTCGATATATATGACGGTTATAGATTAACTCACCTGCACTGTAGCTGCGTTGGTTGCACTGATATTTTTAGATCTTTCCGCAGTATATATATATATCTATATATATATCTTTTCAATTCACCCCTTGATATTAAATGGGCCCTGCCTCCCTAAGGAAAAAAAATATATTTTGCTTTTTGGGAGAGAAAAGAAAGGCAAATTAAGAAGAAACACACACACATACACACACGACGATGCACAGCTATTTAAATAGTCTATTTTTTATTTATTGGTCTGTTTTTAAACGCGAGGAGCCGCCGAAGAAAGAAACAATCGTGTTTTCTAGGGATTTTTAAACGTTGTTAAAACCCTGCTGTGTCTGAAGTCCTTTTCTTGAAGTGCCAATACGACGAGACGGAAAGGAATAAAGGAAATGGTTGAAAGTCGTGTCGTTTCATTATTATTATTATTATTATTATTATTACTATCTATATATATAAAATGGGAAAGGGCGTCGTAAGGGGCCGCAAAACACGAAAAACCCCGGACGAAAAAACACCAAACTTGGCAGACGCATACCTCAAACCACGAGGTATGCACAACACTCATCACAACACAAAAAAACATTACAACAAACTCACCATCACAAAAAGAAACAGAGCATGCGCGGGGGCGTCCCGGCGCGAACTGCCTGGTGTGCGCACATGGCTGGACCACGCCCCCTCCACGCATACACCATCCTTCCCTACTCCGTCGCCGCCCACGGCCCCTCTGAGAAAGCCACGCCCCCACCGACCACCACCCCGCCCCTACCCACTCATATGCCATCCTTCCCTCCTCCCCTCCTCCTCCCCTGCCCACGCCCCCTCCGAGAA